TTAGTGATATATTGGGAGACTCGGATTCATAAATGTCCAGTTATTAGCTTTAGATTTTCACTTTCCTTGCTGCTTGCTTTTTATAGTGAGTATCTGTTAAGCATTTATATGCACTTCAAATAAGCAAGCAGTACTTTAAAACTGAAATAATATTTATAGTTCACAAAGAGAGCTTGTAACCAAATAAGACAGTGCTGTCACCTCTTAAAGTCTGCTAGATAAAGATAAATGTCTAAATATTCTGACAGCATGCCCCTTGAAAATATTCTAAACTTTACAGTGTGCATCTATAAAATTTATTCTTATTCTCTCACATCTTGACACTTTTAAGATCAAAGTAACTCTAAACAATACGACATAAAAGAGATCCAAAAATATTTTCTTCATTTCTTTGCCAGAAAGTTTCTTCAGAAGATATTTCCCTACTCCTACTGATTTAATATATACTAAAATTGATAGTTGTAATAAAATTTTTAAAATTCTGAATAATGTCGACTTGAAGAAAAAGAATCTAGTGCCTTTATCTGCTGAAAGGCGAAGCTTGCCAGCTTCCCACAGTTAATATAATTGTTAAAACAAAATCAGGGGTTTTTCCTAGGACAGAAGTCACTGACCGCGTCAATAACTTCTAAAACAAATACTCTTTATTTTCAGAAGTATAAAACAAGTTTATAATCCCACAGTTCCCTGAGGCTCTGTGGATTATTTTTTCAGTCTATTTTCTTTCTATTGCTCAGACTGGGTAATTTCTTTTGCTCTGTCTTCCAGTTCACTGATTCTTTTCTCTGTTCTATTCTGCTGTTGAGTTCACTCATTGTGCTACTGTATCAGTTACTGGTTTTCAGGTCTACAATTACCATTCGATTTGTCTTTATATCCTCTGTTTCTTTGCTGAGGTTTTCTATTTTTTCATGTTTCACATGTCAGTAATTTTCTTTGAAGTGACAGGCTCACTGTTCAATGCACTGATGCTTAAAATTCCACTTAAACCAAGTTCCTTAAGGCTATCTAGCTTTTTACATGTACCTATAAAATGCTTCCTTGAATAAATTTAGGATAATGTTAAATCTGGCAAGGGATATCAAAAGACAATGAGACAATTGCCTTCATGGGCTTTAAAATCTGAGAAAGGGACTAAATAAAGGATGAAAGAATTATAATGGTCAAGATTACTATAAATAGTTTCTGGTTTCTCCTGAAACTGTAAGATTAATCTGAAAAATATGTATGAATTTGCTACCTAGAAATGCATATATATCTTGTAAAAACAAAAATCTGTGTAGCTTTTGAACTGTGAACAATAGTATGATAGGAAACTAATATTTTTTAAGTGATAAGATTTTTGTCTTTCTTAACTAGAGACTTAAATTTATGTGCTATGAAGCAATTCTATTAAATCTGGGGCTTCTTATTGAGTTTTAAAATTCAGCTTTATTGAGCTATAACTTTTCATATAATGAAGTACCAATTCTACGTGTACATTTAATGTGTCTTGACAAATGTGTGTAGTTTTTTAAGCACCACCACAATCAAGATTCTGTCACCCCAAAATGCTACCTGGTACCCCTTTGCATTCACCCCCCTGCCACAACCCCAATCTTTAGGTAACTATTGTTTACCTTCATACATGGAATTTATGAATGGAATCTTGTGCCATGCAACTTTTTGTATCTGGCTTCTTTTACATAACATGGCTTTTGAGATTTGTTCATGTTGTGTGTGTCAGTAGTGTTCCCTGTTCATTACTGAGTAGTACCCCGTTGTTTGGCTACACTACGGCTTATCTGACAGTTGTTGAACATGTAGGTTGTTTCTTGTGTAGGCTGTTGACAGTGAAGCTTCTATGGACATAAGCCTTCGTGTGCACATGTTTTCATTTGAGGTCCTAACTAGCAATGTATAAAAATTTCAATTACTCTACATTTTCACCACCACTTGGTATGTCAGCATTTCTGTTTAGATACATATACTGTATGTCTGGGTGTTGGCTTTCTACTGCTGTGTAACAAATAACCATAAACCTAGTAGCTTAAAAGAGCACCTATTTATTATTTCATAGTACTGTAGGTCAGAAACTTAGCACAGGGTCTCCAGAGACCACAGGGCTGAAATCTAGATACCAGCCAGATGACATCAGCATCTGGAGGATTTGGGGAAGATTCTGTTTGCGAGCTCATTTAGGTTGTTGGCTGAATTCAGTTCTTTGCCATCTCCCTTGTGTTAAATTCTTCTCATGTTTTGAATCTCTGACTTCCCCTTTCCCCTTTCAGAAGGCTCTTAAGATTACAACAGGCCCATCTGAGCAATCTTATCCTAAGGTCAACTGATTTGGAACCTTAATTACACGTACAAAATCTCTGCAGCAGTCCCTAAATTAATGTTTGAATAAGTGGGAGAGAAATGTTTGTATACCAGGGGCTAGGAATTTCAGAAGGCCATCCTAGAATTCTATAGGACATAACCATTTGTTCTACATTTTCAGCAACACTTCGTATCTCAGGTTTCAAATTCATTCTTTCTTTCTTTCTTTCTTTCTTTCTTTCTTTCTTTCTTTCTTTCTTTCTTTCTTTCTTTCTTTCTATCTATCTATCTATCTATCTATCTATCTATCTATCTATCTATCTATCTATCTACACTGAGGGATAACTACATATAAAAGGGTTCTGGGACACAGTGTGTTTGTGTCTGTGTGTGTGGCTTTCCTCTGTACATTCACAGAATTCTCAGTTGCCAGCTGGGTGTCCTACAGAATTCAACTCAATTCTGACAGTGTCTGTCTAGAGATAACATTAGATTGCACAGGTTAAGAGCTCAGTCCGGCAGGACCTTCCCTTCCTCGTTTAGATTCCAGTTGCAAGTTCAGGTTGTCACCTGAGGTTCTGACCAGCTAGTTATAGATTGGAGGTTCCAACAGCTCCCTCCTTGGGTTTGATTAATTTGTTGGTGCAGCTCTCAGAACTCAAGAGAACATTTTACTTACTAGATCACTGGCTTATTACAAAAGGATGCAACTCAGGAACAGCTAGATGGAAGAGATGCAAAGGGAGCTTCCACGCCCTCTCCAGGTGTTCCACTCTTCCTGCATCTCCATTGCTCACAAGCCCAGAAGCTCTCCATCCCGTCCTTTTGACTTTTTTTCTGGAAGCTTCATTACATGGGCATGATTGATTACATCACTGGCCATTGATGAATGGTTCAACCTTCAGCCACTCTCTCTCCCCCAGAGATTAGGTGATGGGACTGAAAGTTCCAGCCTCTGATCACATATGATTAGCTCTCCTGGCACCTAAACCCTATCATTAGGTCCTTGCCCAAAGTCACCTCATTAACATAACAAAGCACCTTTATAGCTCTCCTCACTTAAGAAATTCTGAGAAGCTCTGTGCTAGAAATGGATGAGGATGAAATACGTTTCCTGTTATGTATCAGAATATATGTAGGAGTGTTACATCTTCCTAATGAACTGACTCTTTTAAAGTTATGGAATAGTCTTATTTATCCCTGGTAACATTCTTTTTTCTAGATTCTACATGGGCCGTTATTACTAGCCAGTCTTTCTTTTGATTATTATTTGTGCGGTATATCTTTTTCTATCTTTTTAGAACTCCATCTCTGCTCATTAATAATGCCATTTTATTAATGTTTGCTACTTCTATCTTTATTTTAATATGTATTTGGTATATAAAGTGACATAAAATTAGGTTAACCAGTTCTGGAAAATTATCTACTATAGTTTTCAAGGGAAAGACTAAGTATTGGCAACAAGGTAAGAACTGGAGATGCCAATTTACTGATAAACTTTTCTTAGACTTTACGTTTACTCAGAATAAGAGGTAATTTAAGAGTTTAAAGACTAGCCAGCCAGACTAAAATGGTATTTCAGGCTGTATTCAATAACTTCTTAGGATTTGTAAGTATATTCAAATATTTCAATGTTAATCCTGTTGTACACGTACTGCCAGACAGGGTCAAGTTTAGACAGACGGGGTGTGGGATGCGTGCTGTACTCAGTTTCATTACTGAACATTAAAAATTCAATTTGTATTACTTTAAATTCTGTAGACTTTTTTACAAGTTCTTGATTTTTACCTCATATGAGATTGTTATACTTGGAATTTTTACAGTCTTAGATTTAGAACTACTCCTGGTTCCATTAACCGAATGGTTGACCTACAAGCTACTTGACCGCCCTGGGCCCAGTCATCGAGAATTGTTCAGTGTAGACATTGGGTCAGGTCTGTAGTTCTTCTGGGGTATTTTTTCCTTAAGTAAAATTTTTGCAAAGTAGGAATTCAGGCAGATTATAGTAACTTAGAGTTTATCCATGAGCTAAGACTTCTCATGAAAAGAAAACTTTGGAGTCCAAGTGGCTGGCTGTCTTGCGTTGGGTCTACCTTCCTAGAAATATTTTTCCTGTTTCAGTTGCACACCACACAGAAAACTCTGTTTCATTGCAGGTATAAATAATAACAGGTCTTTGTTTTCTTAAAAGTTTTACAGTCTCAGGAAACTCTTCAATTAAATAGAGATGGCAGAGAGGGGAGGGTATAGCTTAAGTGGTGGAGTGCATGCCTAGCGTGCACAGGGTCCTGGGTTCAATCCCCAGTATCTCCTCTAAAAGTAAATTAAACCTAATGACCCCTCCCCCCCAAAAAAAAGAGATAGCAGGAGGAGCTTTATTCTGATCTCTACACAAAAATAAGTTCCTCTAGCAGGACAAGTTTAGAGTATTGACAGTCTCCAGTGTGTTAAAACTTGATACTCAGTATATCTAGGGCATTAATTTAAATCAGACGTTTGCATATGTCTTAAGTGGCAGAGCCACTTAAGGCCTGTTTGAGTCAACAGCTCTTTCTATCATATTGTAGTTTTTTTCTTATCAAAAAATATTTATAGATCCAGGCACATTAGTTTATGTCTTATTTCCCAGTGTTTTGTGACTCAAAGTATTTAAGTATAATCTTTTAAAAACATTTGTGCCAATTGTATGACTAATTATTGTCATTATTTTTTTTCTCCAGGGAAATGAGGCGAGTTATCCTTTGGAAATGTGCTCACACTGTAAGTCAAATATTCTTACCGAGAACTTCTTTTATTTTCCCATCTCTGTATATGTTTGTATGTAAATCACATATTTCTATACATCTGTATAGCAAAGTTAGTCCTTAACACTTTCAAATGGGTAGTGGATTTGACTTAAAGTCTTTATAAGTTGCCAGAATACGGAAATTTTTTTTATAAACCTCTTTATTGTTAGTATCTGTGCTATGTTGTAGTTACACACCGACCCTCAAATCTCAGTGGCTTCACCCAGCAGAAGTTTTTCAGATTAACAAAGCTTCAAGTAAACAGTTAACTTACTATAACTTGTGATTACGTAAAATAAAGTGCTTATTGGAGGCAAAACTGTGGTAGACTAAGGAGCTATTGGCACACCCTTCCAGGCAGAGTGAGGAGTGTAAGAAGTGGGGGTGGACTGATGATTTCTGACTGTCCTGGAGAACATGAAGAAAATGACAGTCTTGGGAATTCTTGAGTCAAGGATCAGAGGACCAGGGAGCTTAAATCATAACCAGAAGGTCTCTTGCGTGGAAGGACAGTGACGGGGAAAGAGGGAGGTCATGAGAATTGGAATGGGGCCCCTTGGTGAATTTGGATGCCGTGAGGTCCCAGGACTGCCCAGCCGTTCTGAGCCTCGCTTGCCTCTCCTGCCCTTCCTGTTCGGCGAGGCTGGTCCTGCCTTGTTTGCAGGCATCTGACCTTGTGATGCGGTGTCTCTTCTTTTCTGTCTCATGAAAGCCATTTCCCCGTTACCCTTGTTTCGTTAGTCTCCTTTGTTTTCCACAAACACGTGTCCGTTTCTTTCGTTCTCGTCAGCACCTCTGCTTGCCTGTGGGCTCTGGGTGAGCGGTCTCCCGCCAGCTCCTTAATGGCTGGCATCCTCTCGGCGTAGACATCCGCTCTGCGGAGGAGTTTTCCCTTCCTCTCTGCTCTCCTCAGGTTTCTCTCGATCATGGGTAGTGCCCTGTTTATTTTCTTTAGAGCAGTTCCCATAAGCTTAAGTTACTTGTTTATTAACCCACTTTCTCTTCCATTTTGTAACTTCTACAATTTTTTAAACTTTTTTTTTATGGTGACACTCTGGCCAGTAACCCACAATTCTGCCATCCCAGGTGCTATTTACACTTTATTTTACTCTTTCCTCCCAGGCTTTCCTTTATGAATTTCTTGTATAATTGTGATCACATGTAGATGTGTATTGCTGTTTTAAACATAAAGATAAAATGTTGAATCCAGCATATTAGAATGGACTGAAACCAAACCTGACTATGACTGTAGACCAGAGGCTGGTAAACTGCCATCTGGCGACAGTTTTGTTAATAAAGTTTTATTGGAACACAGCCATGCCTGTTTGTTCACACATGGTCTATGGCTGTTTTGTGCTACCATGGCAGAGTTAAGTAGTTGCAACAGATCACGTGGTCCATGAAGCCTACAATGTTTACTGTATGAGCTCCTACAGAAGCAGTTTGCTGAATCTGTTACAGAGTGTAGCTGTCTTCTGGATTTGAGAACTGTCACTTCTGTTGCTGCCGAATCTCTCAAATATGGTCAGGATAAGAGTACTTACAGACTAATGCCGAGTGCTATCTAGATCTGATTCTTGTCTGTGTCACAGTTAATGTGTCAGGATGGTTTCTTTAGAATTGGAAGGGTTCTGCTCGGGACTGTGTCTTGCTGCTTGCTGTTCAGCCGGAGCCTGCGGCGTGATCCCCCCTCTGCCTGCTAGTGGGCAGGGAGGAGGTGTGCGCGTCTGTGAGTGGCTGGGATTCAGGCTGCAGACAGAGTTGGGGTGGGCTGTGTTGGGAGTACAACTCCTAACAGGAATGAGGTACCAGGAAGTTAGTTTTTGTCTCTTGGTCAAGAAACAGAGGTCCTAAGGGGACAGTACGTCCCAGGTTCTTACCGTCTGCTCTCTCTTTACATTTGGGACTAAGGATCATTTACCTGACTGCAAAGAAAAACATACCAGGGCAGAAGATAAGGTGGACGTTCCCTTTGGTACATCCAGGATGACAAAAGCCAAGTTTTTAAAAACAGGAAGTGTTGGAGTAGATTTCATACACTGGTAAAGCTGTTTCTTTCGATTTTATCTGCAGAACTTGGTAGGTCTTCTTTCTTATGACTTCATCTGTGCTTTGATGAGACTTGAGCCTTGTGAGTAAAGGTCTGTACTTGCCAGTGATTGTCCAGCTAGCTGTCAGGCAGTCTGAGTTCTGTGATCCAGTGTATGTGTAGTTTTCCTCTGTATCCTCTTTGGTTCACTAGAGTATATTATGCTTGTCTTTTATACATGATTTGGATGAATTTGAACTTATCCACATTAAAACTGCCACTTTTTTCCTACCCACACATTGTAGTAAATCTTTTTTGCTCATTTGCAAAACGTCTTTATTATTGGAAGAGTTAAGTGTTCTCTGTAAACAGTTGCTGTCGTCCCTAAAATGTGAAAACCAGTCTTGGAGGCACTTTGCTGTTTCTGCCTCCCTCTTCAGGTGCTGCCTTCCCGTCCCCTTGAGACCTAGCTCCAGAGTCCCTCTGAGTCCTCTGTGAGCTCCTGTGTTTGCCCAGCCTGCCAGAGTCCTCCCCACTCCAGTCTGTGTCCTCCCCACTTTCCAAGTTTCACTGTGTCTTTCATTCTTTTCATATTTACATTGTGATTTAAAAAAAAAAGGTAATCAGATTCTGAATTATATGCTGTAAAGTACTGTTTTCAGCCCTGTGACACACAGGTAAGTACCCACAGAGTGCTTACAGTCTGAAAATAAGAGCAGTGCATACATTTTTACGGTGGAGGTAAAACCATTATAAGACATAAAAGCAAAGGTTCCAAGGAGGGAAAATTACCTTTGGTTAAGAAAATTAAGATAAGCTTCGTGGAGGGGGTGATATTTGAAATTA